TTCTCAGTTTTTTAAGAGTCTCTTATGGTTTGGCTCCCTCCCTCAGAGACCCACTTTTCAAGAAGTGGGGCCCCAGTAATGACTGCCACACCCCCGCCACCTGACAGATGTGTTTTATCACACTCCACCCATTTGCTGTACTAATATCATTCTGGCTCAGGAAACAGCATAGCCTCGGAAGACAGAAGATGGGAAAAGAGATAAACGTCCTGTGCCCAAAACATACAAATTAAGAGGGAGATGTAAATATTTTTCTAATGATGCAAATTCTATTAACTCTGGAATCGGTTTTCCGTTTTTTCCCATCTATAATCTCAGATAAGTAACAGGAGTGAAAAGTTATTCACGTAGTTCTATAATTATTCATGCAAATTGAACAGGTATTTGTGGGCTAGCTTGGAAAACCACCTTGGCCTTAATAACGTCGTTGCTATAAGAAAACAGATTTTGATTCCCAGTTCACACAACTATCAAAACACCTTTGGAATGTAACCGGCTGGTTAGGTGCGGACTGGCCAGCTCCCATAAAGCTTTCTTGAATATTTCACACATGAGCACCCAGTGCTTAATCGTCACTGGTAATGCCATTGGGGGAGGGCATAGGGACAGAATACCTTTTTTCTCCCCCAGGCACCCATCCTGTTAAAGAAGCTCCCAATGGATAGAACTCTACACCTGGAAGGGGAGAAGTGATTCTTAAGTGAATGTTAGGGGCAAGATCAAATTTAAAACCTTCCAGGGGGGCGCCTGGGTGGCGCAGTCGGTTAAGCGTCCGACTTCAGCCAGGTCACGATCTTGCAGTCCGTGAGTTCTAGCCCCGCGTCGGGCTCTGGGCTGATGGCTCAGAGCCTGGAGCCTGTTTCCGATTCTGTGTCTCCCTCTCTCTCTGCCCCTCGCCCGTTCATGCTCTGTCTCTCTCTGTCCCAAAAATAAATAAAAACGTTGAAAAAAAAAAATTAAAAAAAAAAATTAAAAAACAAAACACACAGCTGTCCCACCCTAGACACACTGAGCTAGGTTGTTCTTCATCCTGGAGGTGAGGCATGGTAGAAACACCTGGAGCGTTTTTTTACACCCTAATGTTAGGGTCCCGCCCCCAGAGATTACTATTCCATTGGTGGAGCTCGTGTGATTCTTCAAAAGGTGTTCCTCACATGCAGCCGGGATTAAACATCACTGACATTTGAATCCAACTTCCCATCCAATGTAAGAGTTTCCCGAAACAACTTCCTAGAGGTCTCCAGCCTCGTTCCCAGACGTCCTCCCTCCTCGTTACCGCTGAGAGCAGAGCAAGCACTAGGTAAATGCTGGCTGCCGTTATTATTGGTGTTGGTATTACCATTATTACTATCCTCATTTGTATTTGGTCACGGGGGCAAATTCAGCCCACCTGTCCCCATAACCCAGGTGCCAAGACCCTCAGGTTTGGGTAGAGCATGGGAGCTACGCTAAGCCAATCAGAGTAGTGTTTCATTCCCCTACCTGCCCCCCAGTGATTGGTTCAGCAATGAGCTTGTGACCCAGTCAGAGCCCAAAGCGAGCTTATATTGAAATTGTGGGCCAAGAGAATCACCCACTCTCCCCCTTAATCCTGGGACGGTGTCAGTCTTACCCAGCCAGAGCCACCAAGATGAGAGAGAAGTTGTTTGAGAATCAGGCAGCACAGAAAAGAAGGGAAGCCAAAAGATGGAGAGAGACGTTATCTAGATGACATCATTTCATTCACATTGGATCCAGCCATATGTGAAGCTGTTAGAGTCCTGGACTTCACATTCTCTTTTCTCCTTAAGTCAATTGGCGTCTGTTTTTGTTTTGGGACTTGCAAACGACAAAGACGTGCTAATATATTCACCTGATACCCAAGCTCACCCCGGACCGTACCCATGCTGGGCTCTTGCCCCTGAGCCCCCTACCAGCGACGAGGGCATTGCCACCTGATGACGAGTTTCCCAGGTGCCAGCCGCCTGCCTGGCTGTGCTTATTCTCCATCGCCGCGAACTGCTCACATGTCAGGACACCCTCTAGGTCATCTTGGATTAGGATGACCAACCGTCCCAATTTGCCCAGCACTGAGGAGCCTCCCGGAATACGGGACTTCCCGGAATGTGCTGAAACCAAAGAAGTCTCAGCAAACCAGTGCAGGTTGGTCACCCTCTTTTGGATTGTGTACTAACTGGAACTGGAAACCTCTAGAACTTCGGGACACCGAGCTCTGCCAGCAGCCAACACGGCTGGGGCTGCCCCCCATTCCGCTGGAGGCACGGGGAGGGACACGGGACCAGACCTCCCATCCTTCCTGCCTGCCGTGCCCAGCCGGTGCCCGCCGAAGCCTTGGGTGGCTGCCTCCCAGAAAGAAAGCAGAGAGTATGGACAGCGAGTGAATGCATCCTCCCCACATCCTCGCAAGGCAACCTAGTTTTCGGTTGGAAAATTTAAGGTGTGAAAGTAACAAGATCACGTGTATCAGGATTTTAGCACAGTCCCTGACGAGCCCTAAGTGAAGAGGGTAGCTGGTACCCTGCTCACAGCAATGGCTGATTATAATTTTATAGTGCTTCCTCTATGCTGGGACTTACTTTTTTAAAAATTTTTATTTATTTATTTTGAGAGAGAGAGAGTGAGTGTAAGTGGGAGAGGGTCAGAGAGAGAGAGAGAGAGGGAGAGAGAGAATCCCAAGCAAGCTCTATGCTTAGTGCAGAGCCCGACGTGGGACTCCACCCCACAGCCACGAGATCATGACCTGAGCTAAAATCAAGGTTTGGATGCTTAACCGACTGAGCCACCCAGGCGCCCCTATGTGAGGCCTTATTGTAAGCATTTCAGTGATACCAACCTATTTGTCCTGATAACCTCGGGAGATAGGTAACATTATCCCACTTTTTCGGGAGAGAAACCCCCAAAATCTGCCTCATGAGGTCGAATTATTAGCCATTGTTCGGGAATCGGCCTCCCCTTCAGGCCTGACTACTGTCTATTCATTCAACAAGCATTTAATTGAGCACCTGCTAGGTGCCAGGCACTGTGTTAGGCACTGGGAATATTGCACTGGACCAGACAGTCCCCACTGCCCTGGAGTTTACATTTTAGTGGGAAGGACACCAGTAAAGAAGGAAACAGGTAGCAGAAACCAGCCCTGCCTGGCTTTTGCAAGAGGGAATTTACTGGAAGGAGCTCCCAGGGCATCGCTGAATGGATGGGTCTGCTCAACTTCAGATCCAGAAGGGAGCATCTGATTGGGTCACGTGCCCACCGCCATGGCTGTGGGAGGGCAGAGCCCCCAAGTACCTTCCTTTCTACCGGACTGCGCACAGAGGAGATGAGTAACCCCCCCAAAAGGACATGAGATGGGGGGGGGGGACAGATGTCAGGCCTCCAGAAAAGCAACAAGCATCGGCGACCCTAGCCCTCAAGTAGTTAAAGTCACGACATTCCACCTGCAGCCGGTCTCTCCTCTGAGCTGAAACCCTCATTCCCCACCCCTACTCGGGACTCGGTTTCCATCAACCTAATCCTAGAGCTGTAGGACTTTAGAGCCGAAAGCTGAAGGAACCCAGCCATGCAGGTGACCAAAGCCCTGCCATGCACGTGTGGGAGAAGCGGGCTGTATAGCTCAGGGCCCAACCAGGGAACCAGAATCAGTAGAAGGCATGTATTCGGAAATTTATTGCAAGGAGTTTGAGGGGCTGTCGAGGCAAGCCGAACTCCGTCGGGGGCGGGCCATCGGGAAGGGCGGGCTAACACTCTCAGGCAGCAGGGGCTGGGGGGCGGGGGGTGGAGGGTGAGGGTTAACCACAGGTTCCCTGGGTAGGGTTTATCTTTCATCAGGGAAACCTCAGCTCTGCTTCTAGGGCCTTTCAACTGATTAGATGCGGCCCGCCCAGATGAGCTAGCTACCCTACTTTACTGAAAGTCCATCACGTTGGACTTTGATCACATCGCAGCATCACCTAGATGCACACTTGATGTGTAACTGACGGGCAGAGCCTGGCTGAGCGGACACACACGAGTGCCCATCACACAGAGGTGACCTCACTAAGCCTCCGAGAAGATGTGGCACGTTTAGGGTCTCGAGAGAAAATGAAGGAAAATGTAATGCCCAATTCAATTTGAATTTCGGACAAACAATGAATCGTTTTTGAGTAGGCATGTGAAAAGGAGGAAGACAGAAAATGTTCTTTGAAAGCCCTCCTACCTATAAAGACTTGAACTCGGAAGCAACCCCCGGGAAGGAATTGGCATACAAGGACCCTTGGCCCCTCTCGCTCACTAGCCAGCCATCCATTTGGAGAATATTTATTGAGCACCTATTGTGTGCTAAGCAAAAGGGCTGTAGCGAACAGCCCCATAGTGAGTGTTTGCCAGGTTCTAGCTGCTTTTACGCTTATTAATTCATTTAATATGTACAAACCAATGGGGTCGGTGTAATTCTTATTTATAATGAGGCAACCAAGGCAAAAAGATTAAGAAATTGTCCACAGTCCCAGAGCAGGTAAATGGGAGACTTGGGATCTGAACCCAGGTAATTTGGCTTTAGAGTTCATAATCCTCAATACCTGTGTATTAGGGTTCAATG